CAGCAGGAGCGACTGTGTCCCTCTTTTCTGGAAATGAATGTAAGGCAAGATTAGGGAAGGTTGTGTTTTTACTTCTTTTCTGAATAAATTTGACACAAAAGAACAGCTTTTAATACAGGTTAGCAAATGCAAAGATACCAGCTGTGTTTTTCTAGAATTTAGAGGATGTACTGGAAGGAGAAGGGGCCTACTGGAGCTGGATGATGAGGCTTACTCTTTTGCTGAGCTTGGAAAGAACTGATGCCTGGGTTTTTAAATCCTATGCCCTTGATGTGTAGAAGCTTGGCAGCTGATGAATAACACTATTATTTGATGTTAACTTCAGTGGTCTAAATAGAGAAGGTAATGAAAAACGATGCAGTTATTATTTTTTGTTTGTTTGACTCTGCTGTTGGAATGTAATGTTCTGAATGCTATTGCCATTGGCAGCTTGAGGAAAGCTCTAGACACTGCTAGTAATCAATATGGATAAAGTATTAAAAAAATCCATCTATTATTTCTCCCCCTGGCTCATGGAAGTTTATGGCCTCTCAATTAAACTGTGACCTCACTGACAAATTCAGGCAAATGCATTTGGCACAAATGGAGAAGATAGAAACGTAGAAAAGATAGCAAAGGGAGTAGGAGTGAGCAACTGGAGCAGATGGATGGAGGCCGAATTTCTTGAAACAGATCAGTTACAGAAGGGTTTTATTTTTTTTCCATAGGTAGCAGAGCCACTTCCAAAGGGCCTTGCCTACGTCTCACACAAACCCCACAGTTTCTCAGCTATTTGCAATGCTTCTTCTACCAGAGGTTTCTGGCCTTTTTGTAGCCCTGTTGTGCCATGTGATGACTACTTTGAGTGGCTCCTCTGCTGCAAAAGGAGGTGTCTGTGTCTGGGCAGATTAGAGTTCCATTTTTTTGGATAATGAAGAGCTGAAATTATTTCTGTTTGTGAAAATAATAATGGGAAATCCAGTTACTCTTTGACAATCTAATCTTAGTAAGGTCTGAAGAACAAGACAGTGTCTGTGAACGTAACACAACTCAACCCCTCTAAGAAAATGTAAGCTTTCTGCCTGAAACAGTATTTGTGTCTTGAAAGAAAACAGCTTGATTTTCAATTGTTATTATTTTAATACTAGAGTATCAAATCCTACCACTTTTATAGTTAGAAGGTATCCCATTGGATCTTGTCCAATTTTTAATACCTGTTAAATTGTCCTAATCCATACTAGGATTTCCCCTTCCTTGTAACCTGTTATGCACTGTCTTTTCATCTGGAGCAGGATGTCTTATCTGCTGTTAAATATTCTCTAGTATCTTTTCAGCTGACCAGAAGATCTTACTACCATTGTGTTGCTAGAATAAACAGAGTAAATGAGAGGATATAAACACTCTGAGTTTAAAGCTTTTTACCAAAATAAAAGGGGAAAACTGAAATGCCGGAAGTGGTAAATTGGGATGATTTTGGAGAGGAAAAAAAGGATTGGGAAGGTCAAATTGTTTCAAAAAAACAAGTTATCTCATCTATCCTCAGTATTTCCAGACACTTTCTCATTAGAAAATTCCAGAGAATTTAGCTTTTTATATGTTTTTCCCAGGAAAAGCCTGGGGAAGTTTTTCGATTTCCCATATAACTGATCCGTTACTGCAAACAGAGGTAGTAACAATAGGTGATATACAAATAATACAAAGATTACACATTGTAGTCAAGCCCCCCTTGAAGTATGTATTCTTACTAGCAGGTGATTTTGACACAGTTTTTGGGAACATATTCTCTCCTAAAAACATTACAGCATAACGTGAATTATTTTTTCTTATTGTTACAATTTTGTATAACAATAACATTAATATTAGTATTGATATTAATATTGATATTAATATTAATAAAATGCCAGGCATCTTAGCTTAGTTTAGGTCAGGTTATGTTAGATGAGCTTTGCTTTGCTTTTCAATAGTTAAGCTGAAAATCTTGATGGGGAATTCTAAAGATCTACATTGAGATTTTCTCTGTGTGTACTTCTGATATCTGGAAATGGGCATCTGAGCCACAGGAAATCTATTCCTCAGCTTAATATAAAAGACAGCTTCAAATAACTGGGCAAAACAAGGTATTGTTGCTTGAAGAATTTTACAGTATTAAATTAGGCTGATTGCCATGGACTTAATTCATGAAGTTTGCTTGTGGGACTGGAAATACTAATGAAATTAGAATTGCTTAGGAAATACAGTACCTGGTTCCTTGACCTTGAGTTCAAATTTGACCTTGGAACTTCCAGCTATTACAGCATATGTCACATCATCTTCTTTTCCTACATTATTGATTGTCAGTGAATGCTTGTTTCCTTCTGCCTTGATGCCATATTTCTCACTTTCAGTAATGTCTGTGCCAGCTCTCTGCCACTTCACCTTGATGCCAGCTTTTTCTGTCTCTGCCTCAAACACAGCTGTGCTTCCGGCCAGCACCTCTGTTGTCTTCGGCTTCTTGGTAAATGCAGAAACTAAAAAAAGAGAGAGGGCTCACTAAAATCTGTCTTGCAAATGTGGCATATCTGGTGGAGTCAGCTGTTGTGGCTGCAGCAGCTGTCTCCTTTCTCTCCCATCTGCCCATGCAAGATATAAATTACACTTTCCACAGAGAAGTTGAGGAATTGTCTTTGTGTTTATCGAGCTCTGACTGATGTCGTATGTTCTCCATGCTGTCACGAAATAGAATGGAATGGATAGCAAACCCATCTCACTGTCTGTCTTCCTCTTTCTTTCCCCCATAACGAGCTTTGATTTTTTCACCAGTGAATGTTTTGATCTATTACAAGATTGTATGATATATATTTTTACGTATCAAGTTCTCTACAACAGTTTGCCAGGCAATTTGATTTAGAAATATTAAGTCTGTCCTAATAGTTGTTTAATACAGTTGTTAAACAGGAACAGAATCTCTTCCTCCAACAAAACTGCAGTTTTTTGCAGTAACCTGTGTCCTAATCTATCACAATGCATGAATGGTTCATCTTTGGTCTCTCTGTTTTAACTGATCCAGGCTTTAGTGGAATGGGATGCAGATTCCTCTGATGATCCTTGTAATTTGATCCCAGCTAAAATAATCAGTTTTTGTTTGCATTCAAATGTTCAGTTTAGCATTAGAAGTTAAAATACTTGCTTATATAGCAGCAGTCTGCTATGAATAGTTTTCTAATTAATTACAAGGTGGATAAAAATATTTCCTCTGAGTGTCATGAAGTACTTACGATGCTATAATGAGAATTAATGAAATTATTAATATATGGAGTGAACCAACTTATCTGTTTCGATTCCTAAATAATCCAAGTAGCACAATAGTTAGGAATTTGGAAAGCAAGTGATATATTTTGGTTCACGAATATTCTAATCTTTCACAACATTAGATTTTAATAAGCTAACTTATTTTACAATTTCCTTACCCTGTTTTATTTCTTTCTCCAATTTTATTTTGGATCAATTATTTAATTTAATTCTCATATTTTGATCCTAATTAAATCTGTTATCTCTTTGCTGATTGTCTATCCTGAGCTTTATTCATGTGTAAAAATATCAGTAATTAACTTTCTGATTTTTGTGCATCGTTATGCTTTTATTGACTTACCCCACATAACCATGCTTTTATAAAACATTAGTAATTCCATTACATTTAATTATACCTGTCACCTTTGTGGCAAAATCTGTCTTTTCTACTTGGCAGCAACAAGAACTCTTCCAGACACCACAACAATGGTTAGAATTAGCTTTAAACTTTTAATTCTGCTGTATAAAAATGAAGGAAACATGACATAGAAATATTGGAAAAGAAGTAGTTGATACTTGTGTTCAAACAGGCATTACAGTTAGTATAAGTGGTATATTACTAATAATACCATCTGTTCACTGCACAAAATCTCTCTTCCTGTAGCATGTCTTCAGACTGAATAAATTAATTGACCTCAGTGGAGTTACATCTGCAAAGATTTCATCTGATGGCCTTTGGGCTTCAGTCATAATGCAGTTCATGTTTCTTGCATTGTTTTGCAAAAGATTAAAAGCTGCTTTAACATAAATTAAAATATAATTTACATACTTTTTATTTAGTAGGTATTGTATTGTGCCTCTTTGTTATGTAAAATACCTAAATGACATTTTTCTCCTTTTTTCCTCACATTAGTAGGTATTGTATTGTGCCTCTTTGTTATCTAGAATACGTAAATGACATTTTTCTCCTTCTTTTTTCCTCACTTTTTTTATATTTGATGAAAAAACAGTTTTGGTTTGCACTGAGCCTATTGCAGCCTTGAATGAGTTCCTGTTGTATTCTGCATGTGTTTCTTCCATGTTAATATTTAAGTGTGAAATTTCCTCTGGGAGTGGAATGTCCATGGATGCTTTTATCTGAGGTTTTTTCCAATCTCAGGCCTGTAAGTGGTGTAATTGTTCTTGATCAGAATATAGAACTGTGTAGAATATAGGGTCCTATACTATAGTGTAATACTCAAATGCCTGTTACTAGCTGCACATCTTTTGATATGGTATTGCACTTCAGTCATTGACACAGCAGAGTATACGTTGATGAGTTGTATTGTGAATAATTGCAGAAGAGTTATTGCAGACAGCAGGTTTGATGTACAGAATTCAAAGACATGTAAAGGTGGCCAGGCTACTTCAGAGTGGGTCTGGAACCTGCTCCTGAAATACCTACTATCTTGCTCCTCTCCCTATGACGCTAGAGGCAGAGCAGCTAAGAGGCATGTTCTTTGTCTCTGAGTGCTATCATCAGCACTCTTCTATTTAAGCACGAAAGAATCTATAAATATATTAATTACTTAACTGCAATGTGGCCTGTAAAGGTTCCAGCCTACAAATGGCAGAGTTTCAAGACATGCATACTTGGAAGTAACTCTCTGGTCTGCTGCACACCCTGCAAAGTGATTAGGTTTCTTACATTTACTTTAGATGACTCAACAAAAACAGATTGTTGGCCAGAACTACATGCACAGTGAGAAATCTCCACCACATAATATTTCTGATTTTGGGGAAATCTAAATACATATGTAGAAGTACCTGTGTAAGTATCTTTTTTTTTTTTTTCTCCTTCCCTTTCCTGCCAAAAGATTAATTTCAGTTCCAACTTGAGATGATTGTGAATACTTCCACTAAAGCTTAGGAATGGAAAAGCACAAAATCTCCCATGAGAATAAAGGCCTGCAAGAACAGTTGTCATGAATCCACTTTTTCACAGGTAAAGAAGGATACTCTAAGAGTTTCTTCCTGTACTTGATATGCAGTGAGTGTGTTCAGAGTTGAGTCTCTCTGGATCCATCTGTATTCCCTCTCATCTTTCACTGTTTGTATTTGCAAAAGAAAAGTAGTGATGTATGGCTGGAGATCTTACAGAAAATTGCTTTGTTGCAGAAGAGAGATTGCTGAACAAGCATGCAAAGAGAATGCCATCCATCATTTTTCTTTCTGGGGAAGAGGTTAAGGGCTGCTTACCAAGAGAAGAGATCTGCTATTCCTGGTCTCCTTCATTGTGGCTGCTACTTGAAGTAACATATAAAGACAAGTTTACCAGCAGATTTTTTTTCTCATGCCAATCTAAGCCAGCTATTCCCTCATTAAGGATGTGCCTAAACACCTCCATTCAAACCTTCTTGTCTGTTGCAAGAGCCTCACTTTTACCTGCTTTTATCAGAAACGTATTCCCCATTTGGCAATCTCTCTCACTTTGACATTTGACTTCTCTACCCCGATATGCTCCTCTGAGTTCCTGATATCCATCCCATAGTCAAAAACACTCTTGGATATGACCACCACCCTCAGGCTGTGGAAAATCCAATGACTGTGACACCTCTCATGCGATGTTGCGGAATGCCTTGCAGCTCTTGTGTCTGTCAGGCACTATCACACATTTATCCAGACTCCTGTTGAACATGCATTCAGAAGCCCATGGGCCAGACCTTCCTAATCACTTCTAGCTTCCATAATGCAAAGGACTTCATATAACTTGTAAGTAACCTAAAAGAGCAAATTTCTACCCCAGGCAGAAGAGGAAGCAGGATGCACGTGGTCTGAAATAATCATGCAGAAAACCTTTTGGTGGCTAATGCTTCTGCTACTGGAACTCACATGCTGCACTCATGCTTTCAAAGTCTTGTAAGACCTGCAGGTGTACGTATCAGCCATACAGTTATGTATGTTACATGAGTTACAGCTTTATTAACTAGTAATACAAAGCTCAATTTGGAAGTCCATGATCAGACTGCATCTTGGTAATAATTAAAAGTCTTTCAAACGGGAGGCTGAAGAAATATATTTGCTTTTGGCCAAATTAAACTAGAATGAAATAAATTATGTTTCAAAAACAATTTCCTTCACTTTCCACTAAAATGAAATAATAAAACTAATGTTCTGCCTTCCTGCTGCTGCCATTTATTGAATCTTCATGCTAGCACTTTCATGTTTTCTTCCTTACTTTCTAACCTGTTTTGAAGCAATGTCTCTTTAACATCCACCACCAGCCTAGTTGTCTATTTGCTTCAAAACTTTTTCATACACTCCTATGCAAAACCCTAGAAAATGGCAAAGTTGTTACTCAGGTCACTACCTATCATATGAATCATTGTTTCCTTTGCTCTCTTGTTGAGCTATTTATCTATTTACTGGGCTTTTATTTGGACATCCTTGTCTCTAAATTAGACAGACATAGACTTGATGGGTGGACCACTCAGTGGATAAGGAATTGGGCTGGATGGTTGCACTCAAAGAGTTGTGGTCATCAGCTCAATGTCCAAATGGAGACCAGTGAGGAGTGATGTTCCTCAAGGGTTGGTGCTGAAACCAGTGCTGTTTAACATCCTGATTGGCTACATGGATGGTGTACAGGGATCAAGCACACCCTCAACAAGTTTGTCAATGACACAAAGTTTCGTGCTGCAGTCAACACACTGAAGGGAAGGGAGGCCATCCAGAGGAACCTTGACAGGCTTGAGAGGGGGGCCTATGCCAACCTCATCAAGCTCAATAAGACCAAGTGCAAGGTACTGCACATGATTTGGGGCAATCCCAAGCACAATTACAGGTTGGATGGAGGATGAATTGAGAACAGCCATGAGGAGAAGGACCTGGGGGTGTTGGTTGATGAAAAGCTTAACATGAGCTGTCAATGTGTGCTTGCAGCCCAGAAAGCCAAATGTGTCCTGGGCTGCATCAAAAGAAGTTGGGCCAGCAGGTCAGGGGCAGCGATTCTCCCACTCTGCTCCCCAGTGGTGGGACCCCACTAGGAGTACTGTGTCTGGTTTTGGAGCCCCAACACAGGAAGGACTTGAAGCTCCTGGAGAGATTCTAGAGGAGGGACACAAAGATGATCAGAGGGCTGGAGCACCTCTCCTATGAAGACAGGCTGAGAGAGCTGGGGTTGTTCAGCCTGCAGAAGAGAAGGCTCTGGGGTGACCTCATAGCAGCCTTCCAGTACCTGAAAGGGCTACAGGAGAGCTGGGAAGGGTCTTTTTACAAGGGCACAGGTGGTGATAGGATGAGGGAAAATGGCTTTGAACTGGAAGAGGAGAGATTTGAGTTAGATGTTAGGAAGAAATTCTTCAGTGTGAGGGTGGTGAGACACTGGAACAGGTTGCCCAGGGAAGCTGTGGATGCCCCCTGCCTGGAAGTGTTCAGGACCAGGTTGGATGGGGCTCTGATCAACCTGGTCTAGTGGGAGGTGTCCCTGCCCTTGGCAGGGGGGTTGGAACTGGATGATCTTTAAGGTTTCTTCCAACTCACATCATTTTATGAAGTGTTTTGAGACAGAGACTGTTTTTCTGTTGTCTTTGTGCAACATAATATTCTTAGTAAGCAGCTATTGTTGTATCCCTAATAAAAACAGAAGTTAGTATTGGAAGCTAGAAGTGACATTCCTATTTGATTGTTGTCTGACAAAGTGCAGATGAGATATATATTAAAGTAATGTTAAAATAACTGGCATAATTTCAGTTCCTAGCCACAGTCTCTCAATAATTTGTCTTGTTAAGAATCATAAGCACTGGGTGAACACCTTTCCTAAAATCACTGAATTTCAAAGTATGTATGAAGTGAAAGTATTTGTGAAATGAAAGTGAGGAAGAAATGTGGATTGTACAAGGATGTTTTAAATGAGAGAATGATAGAGGAGAGCCATTCTCTTGGCATTTCTTTGGAGGTGTTTTGGTTTGGTTTGTTTGTTTGTTTAAATTAGTGTTTCATCCTGCTTTTCAGAATAGTGGCTCTGACATCAGTTCTCCATCAGTCTTTATGACATGTATATGGAGGAGAGGGATATAAGCACTTAAGGAGAAAGTGTGTTAGATGAAGCTTTTGAAGGATATTTCTGCCTTTCTGAAATAAAAGCTGCTAAAGGTATAAATGCTTTAGGATAATCTAACGGAATGCACATGCTACAAACTCCCACAGAAATATGTGGTGAATGTAATTAGAAAAAATTGTAATGGCTTTTCTCCCACAAAGCTGTGTTATCTTACTGCATATTTTGTGTATTTGTTACTCAACTATCTGTCTGGCCAATGTATTCAATTAATACTACAGAAGTAGTATTAGCTTTTGGAATTCCTTAATTTGGTAAGGCTTCACATTGAAAATTAATCTTTGCTTTACTACTTGCACTTGGCATCTGGTTTTCCTTTTACACCATTTGCTCCTCCATTGAATTAAAAAGCAAACTGCTGATAAGCAGACTTCAGTAACGCAGCCTGTAAATTCCTTGCCGAGGAACTATATAAAGATGCTCTGCATTCCTCAGTCAGGACCTAAATGGCTTCTTGTAATTACAAGCTTAATCACGCCATGATCCAAAAGCTATTGAACTGCTCAATCTTATCATTCCTTGCCTACTTCAGCAGCTGAGATTGTAAATTCCTGTAACATGAGCAACAGGCGAGGAATAGTTTCACTAAACAGAGTCCTCTCTCTCTATGTATCCATCATGCTTTCTGTAAGATGGGAATAATACTGTTCAGCTTGCTTTGAATCTTAACTTAAAACAGAGGAAAATAAGATGTATTATTATTGTTATTATTATTGTTATTATTATTAATAATAATGTTTGTATTACTGCAGGGCACAGAAATTCATTATCATGGAGAAGAAGTTTGCTCTGCTAGGGACTCACAAATGTAAAATGGTGAGCTGACATTCAAACTAAAATTCTGCAGTCTACTCCACATTATACAACATTATTATTATTAATGCCACAAGCCTATGCATACAAGCCAGGTTATTTATAAAGCCTTAATAAAATTCCCTAATCTGAACTGCAAAATCTAGTCTCCTCAATCTATAAAATACATGAATAAAAACTGACTGATTTTCAGAGAAGGGGAGTAATACCAGACTTCTCCTTTTCCACATATAGTAATGCACATGTTTCCCATTAAGTACCATTTATCTACTAAATTTGGTGTTTTAAGAGATCAGCTGTTTCCTCTTAAAGTTACAAAATATTGTTAGGGAAAAGGTTGGGGTTTTTTTCTAACCTTTCTGAATTTTTACAACAACAAAAAAACTTTCCAAAAAGCAAACCTCTGAGCAGAGATTAACTATGAAACATTTAAATAAAAGGGAGAACAACACAAAGTTTCTGCAACAGAAAGCTTCAATAAGTGATACTGTATAAATTGATTGATTGTTTGCTCTGACACTAAATTGCTATAGGTCTTCCAAATCCTCTTGCTCTTGGTAGCATATAGATTTCTGTAAAGCTATGACAGTTCTTCCGGTATTCTGTAAATAAATAGGGCAGTGCCTTATCATGAAGTACTTTAGCTGAACAGTTTAAAGTAAAAGAATGTCTATTGGAAAATCTACTTCACTGATTTAGGTTTTGTGGATTGTTTGTTTGTTGTGTATTTGCTTTTTAACATGTTAAAAGGTTTGTTAAAACAGCAGATACAGGTAGAATGTCTCTGATCTTTCTCTGGCATGAAGCATTTTCCTTTGTATGAATCGCTAGATGATTGTTTAGCCCTCTTGAGATTATGCTCAACATTATCCCATCCTGAAATGGCTTGAACTATATAAACAACATGAAATAGAAACCCAAAGGGATTAATGTCTCTTGGCAAAATATGAAGAGCCTCTCCAGAAGTTATGGGGCATGTGACTGGTTCTGTCTTGGTCAGGGTGGGTAATAAGAGCTTTTCCTCCCATGCTGTGATAATCATAGTGTTTGGGCTGGTTTGCTCCTGAGAATTGTGTTGGACTAGTGTTGTTAGACACCTGTTAGTTTTCTCTGCAGAAATAGGCTAGAACAGAATTTTTCTAACCATTAACTAGCAAAGGTGAGCATCTTCACAGGGGAGTTTCCTCTCATTCACAGACTGAAGATGTTAATTTCAAGGCAGTTAGAAATCAAAATTCACAATGCCAAGGTGATTTCACTCTCATATTTTGCCTACTACTATTTTAATTTAACGACATTGTCAATCACAAGCATTAGACATTTCAATAAATCTCAAAAATCATGTGACTTTAAAATTAGAATATGATTATGAATGTCTTATTTTAGGGATGATTGCTGGACCTTTATAGCTTATATTTTCAAGTTATTCTCTACAATTACAAGCTCTGGTATACTTTATATATTTATGTGTTTTTATGATTCCGCTTCTGTCTGACTTCAGAAAGTACATCTTTAAGAACATCAAATGATCTTATAGTTATGATAAAATGAAAGGACTAGTAACACCACTGTTGCTTTAGAATTATTAGAGAGGGGAAACATAAAGAATCTTGTTGGAGTTAATCGAGCTTTGGTGTTTTGCAGTTCTTAAATGGGAGAGAGGGGCTGGATTTGTGCTCTGCCTTTGGCAGTAGCTGATTAAAATATTTTGGCAAAACTGAAAGTTCTTCTTAACAAGTTCTTTTTTGTTGTTGTGGTGACTATAGAAGATTTTCCCTTTGACCAGCCTAACAGGACACTGATACCTGTTCAGTACTTTACAAATCACAAAGGACTACATTAATAATTATCTACAAATTACTGACTAATTTTAGAAAAGGCATGTTATTAAAAAAGCATGCACCTTGTACTGTACATGCAGGTAGTAGTAATTCTGGGTATTCGTTGGCAGCAGTGAAGGGAGAGCTCTGAAACTGAAAGACTGCAGATTTAGTACGATTTTATCTAGTCTTATGTATTGGATATGTGCAGACTTTTCAAACAATCGTAACTTCAGCTCTTGACAACTTTTTTTCCAAACTTAATTGTGGACACGAAGTGCCCCTGAGACACCTTGCTCTACCCAGGCACAGGTGTCCTGAAACTAAACTTTCCCT